ATTCCTAGTGTTACATAGAAATTATGGTTATTCTATGACAAAATACCAGTAAATGCAAAGAGGGATAACATGTATGTAAGAAATTGAAATAGATAGAGCAAGAGGAAAATGAGAACTATAGTTTAACCAAAATAAAAGTTTACTATTAATTTCTTCTACATATGCAGCTACATTAGCTTCTCCTTGTAAATACCTCCACCTCACCAATAAATAATAAATAAATACAAGAAAAAGGCTAAACAAAATTGTTCATGAACTCAGAAAATTACTTCTGAAAATTATGAAACTTAGTAGAACTATATGTAGGGATTTTATCTTCTTCTTCTCCTTCTTCACACCAATTTATATATATCTAATACACCTTTGCATGATGAAGTTATGTCATATTGTGGATTATAATTAAATGAATGCAAAAGCAATAGAGACAACTAATTAATATGGGAAACCCAAGGAAATTAATTAGGCTTGTCCTTTGCCATTCCAATCTGGTATTCCTAATGTGAACTCCAAGCTTGGGTTCTTACACTCTAAATTAGATCCTGATAAATTGTTCTTCAGTTGATTTGAATCACACTCCTATATGAGAAACAATCAATTGCAAATCAAATAATACATATAAATAGAATTTAATAAATATGCATTTTTATCATAAAATACATACTAGTTTATATGTGAATTTCATCATTTCATATTATTAAATCGTTTAAGTTAATTTTCAGATTTCTAACGATTTGAGTTTAATTGTGGTCTCAGATTCCTCACACACGTATTATGAACATTAGTGGTCTTTCATTGAACTTTTCATTACTTAATGACCACTAATGTCCAGAATGTGTGAGAGATCTCGACCACAGAAAATCTGAATTCATTAATAGCTAGTTACACTCATCAAATGATGGAGCAATATATAAACATAACTAAATATATATGAAAACAATGAAAAACAACTTAACATTCACAATGCGTAAAAACTATATATATATATATATATATATATATATATATATATATATATATATATATATATATATATATATATATATATATATATATATATATATATATATATATATATATATATATATATATATATATATATATATATATATATATTAAGTTTGTACTTGTAGTCGAAGTTTTAAATAACGGTCACATCTGTATAAAGAGTTTTGTGATTTCAATCGATAAAGATATTGATATAGTGATTCTGGTCTTCGCGGTGTGAATTAATCATAACTTATTTTTCATCATAAAATTGATCAATAGGAGTATCGGTATCAGCACCTTTCAATACAGTTTTGTCGCAGCCGTTTTCACTATGCTTATAGTAACATATAGATTAAATCTGTTATTCATACCTGAATTTGATGCACTCCTGATATTGGTTGTGACGGGAAGATAGCTGGTCTGAAACCATCTACATCATTAGGACTACTTTGTGGCCATGGTTCTCTACTACTGATCATAATTCAAGTAAGATCAAAAAGAATCAACCAAGAAAAAAGATTGAATTAGTTCAATGATTCTTATGTATACAAAAATAATGCATGAATATGTATCTATACTTTATCAAAAGTTCACAATGGCAAGAAAAAAAAACACACTCATGGATGATATATTAATATGGTTAAGCAAGTAACATGCTAAACTAGCAATTAGTCGGCAAAATAAATCCAAACTTACTAATATAAGCATTTCATGATATGCCTCCACCACCACTAATGTTTTTTACTTAGTAGAGTGATAATTTATTTGTGAAGCAAAGAGATGTTTTTAGTTTACTTAAGGTAATGTTTTTCAATCATGACAAACAGTGCTAATCATAAGATTTAATTAATATATTCAGAAACTACCGAATAAGAGAAAGACATGCTTCTCAAATTATAAAATATTATGGTTACTATAAAGGTAGAACTCGACATATATGAATATAGATTGTTGCAGAGAATGTCATGTGTCAACATCAATATATTGATTAACAGTAAGCAAGATTTTAAAGACATGTATTATAACAAAAGAGTGAGTAATATATTTCAAAAATGTATTGTTTTCTTTTGAAAGAAAAATATTATTTATGATTGAAAATGTTTCAAAATATAGGATAGTGTTGGTCGATTTTTGTTTTTCTTGTTATTAAAAAAATATTGTTGATAACAATGTTAGTTGGAGGAATACATGGTCAATATAAAGGACTTAATTAATCATTTGGGTTTTATGTAATCTACATGTTCACAAATCAAGAATCATAATTTTAATAGTAATAGAGTTATCATCAAATAAGCATTGGAATTAGTGATATGTTATGTACTAGAGACAAACATAGACATAAGTCAAAGGGAGAAGAGAAAGAAAAGAGAAAAAAGCAAATTATAAAGCTTTGAGTTGCTTTCCTTTAATCCTAACTAATTAACCTTTGATTATGTCTTGTATTGATCATTCTTTTATTATGAGAATGCACCAATTAAAAGCTACATAAGATACACAAAGAAAGAAAAGAAAGAAGAAAATGGAACACACAACAAGTTTAAAGTAAAAGCTGCCACAATAACCCTTTTTATTCTTCATAAAAAAGAGTGTTTGGACGTGGGTTTGCATTGATTTTTATAACAGATACCATGCAAAAGATAAAGCAAATCCAAAAAATTAAAATTAAATTAAATATATAAACTTATATAAATTTATAGAAATTGAAAAATTGAAAAACATTGTTATTACCTTGAAGAATTACTCCAAAGAGTGGTTGTGGAAGAGTAATCCATATCTTGTTGTATTGGTCTATCATTTAAGCCTCTTTGATCCGAAAAATTTCGAAGTCCACCATTGTTTCCAATTTGAGGTACATCATCTTCTCCAGATCCATCTGAAAGTCCTAATCCAAAAGTTAATTTTTTATTAATTTAATCCAAAATCAAATTAAGTACATAAGCACGCACACATTTGAGCTAAAAGCCTTAAAAGATAGTGAGACTGAGACCATAGGAGAAGGGTATTTACGGTAAAACAAAATAAAAAAAGTAACAGTAAGAAAAAAAAATAAAAAAAAAGGTTGTAGAATTTGCAATGGAATTTTTTTAGACAAAGAATTAGCAGTAGAATTACCTGAAGAAGCTGCAGGTTTATCAGTAGTTTTAACCGTTCGATACATCTGTTAAAAACAAATCACAAAACAAATCACAAAACTAATGAAACAATTTGTTTATATAAATCAGAAGAAGTTAGTGTGCATAGATAAACAAAAAAAAAAATATAGATCTCGTTTTGAATATGTTAAATTCTCTCTGGTTTGATGTTTGATTGTAAGAGAGATAGTTGCATTATTGGAAAATGATGACTTTTTTTTCTTATGTTGTTGTCAGTTAATGTTTCTCTCTCTTCTCTCTTTCTATGACTATAATCAGAGGCTGTGTTGTGTCTGGTCTTCTCAGATGATAAAGTCTTCTTCTTAGCATACACATTCATTCATTCATTCATTGCTTTTCTTTCATTTTCATTGGTTACTGTGTCCAAATTTCATCCACCAAGATAGAGAGAGAGAGAGATATTGATACAAAATAAAAACAAACCTGCAAATGGCTTTTTACATGAGCTAATGTGAGATCCTTCACATCCATCAGTTCAAGTACTGACTTTGGCGTTGCTCCTAAATTTCACCATCTAAATTACATTAGTGAAAAAAATAATGATAAAAGAAATTTAACATTTAACACCCACCTAATAAATAAAATAAAAAGAGAAATAGTTAATTTATGGAAGAAAAAATATTATTACTTTCATGGCCACCAAGAAGCTCAACGGCGTGAACAAATCGAGCATGGAGTGTACTTGTCCATCGCATTCTTGGTGCTCTCATGCTTCTTTTGGTTGGTAGCTTTGGTAGAAACCTTGATCTCATGGATGAGTCTGAGTTTCCGAGTCCGAGGTTACCGTAGTGAGAGTGATGATGATGGTGCAATGGATATTGATGAGATTTGAATGGTTCGCTGTTGTTAAACCTGGTGGCTACGGCCGCTCGATAAGCGGCGGCTGAGCCGCTGGAGTTTAAGAACGACATGGGATCTAAACCTCCTGCAGCGATGTAGGGGGAAAGAGGCGATGATGATGATGAAGGAGGGGTTGTTGAATTTGGCATGTGGTGATATAAACACATCTTTGGATCTTTTTCTCTTGAATGTTCCATGGCCGGTAAGAAAGGGAATGAACGGTTGTGATAGACCGGGATTCCTTTAATCGGTCTTAAACCTTCTGAGGAGGAAGAGGATGATACATCAAGTAAAGAAACACCGTAATTTATGTGATTCATTGAACTCGAATTTGTTGTACTTGTTGTAGTTGTTGAGTTGTGGTGATGTTGAAGATGAGGGAAATGAGCTTGTTGGGTTTGATAATAAGGGTTATGCGGTTGTTGCTGTTGTTGTTGCTGATGCTGATGATGCGGTTCTTGAACACCACCACCACTAAAATTTCTTCCAAGAGAAAGTTCAGTGTGAGCTTGAGTTTGAGTTTGAGTTTGAGCAAAAGTTCTCGATGAATTGCGAGGTTCATAATTGGACAAATGAGTTGTGTCTATGTTGTTGGAAATCAAGGAAGAAGAAGTACTTGGTGGACTTATGTGGAGAGAAAGATCAGGTTGGGTTTGTGTTGAAGTTGGATTTGTTGGTTCAATGAAAATCCCTTCCAAGGGCATCTTCTTTAGAAAAAAGGTATACTAAAACTTGATATAAGGGTACAAAAATATATATCAAAGACAAGAACTTCTTTTTTCTTCTTTCTCCTTTATTAAAATCAGATTAAACCAAAAAAAAGGTGCAATATTCACCAACAAGTTTGTTTAGTTCAAACTTGAAAGCCTTGAACACAATATTAAGGACTTTTTGAGTGATTTTATTTTGCTCTTTTTTAGGCTTTTTCTTGGAAAGAATCTGGAAAGATAGCTTACTCTCTAGCTATTCTCTAGCTATTTTATCTATCGAGAAGAAGAAGAAAACCTTGTGATATAGCTTTTAAATAAAATAAGATGAAAAATTAGGAAAAAAGAAACAAGATTGAAGAGAGAGATTGAGAAAGAGAGAGAAAGCTAAGTTGAAAAAGGAGAATGAGTCAAGAGAAAGAAGAAGAGAGCATGAAAGAAAGTGAGATGAGAGAGAAAGAGAGATAAAAGATAGGAGAAGACTAGTGTTGATGTGTTTTGCAGGATGGAATGGAAAGGAATGGAATGGAAGGGGAAGGAAAATAATAATAATTTTAAGAGGAAATGGTGAAACGGAAAAGAAAAGAAATGAAAAATATTCCAGAAAGGCATGGAAAAGAAAACAGGTGGATTTGCGTTTTGTTTTCCTCGAGAGTATATCTTGGAAAATGACACTATAGTGAGACGTATGATAAACAAACATTTTTATTTTTTAAGTCTTTAACGAATATAAATAAGTTAAATATTTACAAATCAGACTATTAGAAGATAAGAAGGCTTTAAAGTTTCATTCTTAAAAATTAATAAAATAAAAATAGTACATGCATCATAGGATCTGAACTAAACGTTATCAAATTTTTATTCTAACATTTTTGATAATTTTTCATATATTACATATCAGAATTATAAAATGACTTAGATTTAAAATACTATTTATAAATTTTTTATAAAATTAATATTAATGAAAAACCATTCTAATATTAATGTAAATATCTCATTTTCATATTAAATAATTTCGTATAAATATTAAATTATATTGGCATAATTTATTTTACAGTAGTTTTAAATTCAATAATTGGTTTTAGAATACACTTTAGAATTATATATATATATATATATATATATAATTGATTTTAAGTTTAATTACTGTATTGTTCGATTTTATTACATTCACATAATTAGCAGTCTATTTTATGTAATTTAAAATTAACACATCTACTTTTAAAAGTAAAAGAAGTCAAAATTGTTTAAATTTGAATAAGAAGATTAAATTAATAATTAAATTAAAATAGATATCAAAAGTTATAACTAAATCTAAATTTCGATAATTTTAATAGTCTTTAGTAACTAAAGTGATACAATTCATGACTTTTTAACTCTCTCCACAGCATTCAAACTCAACATATTTTTAGGTTACAAAGTAATACCTCAAATGTTTATTATTTTAATATATATTAATGGTATATTTAAGGGTTAGATATTTTTTTTGTCCATATAAAATTATTAAATTTTAATTTTGGTCTATATAAAAAACGACATATTTTAGTTCTTAAAAAATTATTATTCTCGTAGTTTTATTTTCTACTATTATATCAATGTGTATTTTTGAATGAATAGTTTGAATATATGTTTAGAACGTTATAAAAAAAAATTTAAAAACAAAATTAAAATTTGATTTCTAAGTCGAAATTTTTATTATTTTTATTGTTATTTTTAAAAATTTATATTTAAATCTTTTTATTTTAAAATTTTTTAAAATTTTTTAAAGAAATTTAGTATAGTATTCTAAACATGTATGAAAAAAAGTTATTCAAAAATTTAAAAGTTTAAAGATAATTAAATAATTTTTAAAAATTTAGAAAATAATAGAGACTAAAATTGCATGTATAAAATTATTGTAAGATATATAAGGATTAAAAACGAAATTTGAAATATTTATAAAGACCAAAAATATATTTAACCTTATATCTAAATATATAATTTTTTAAATAAATCACAAAAATTAAAAAGCTGATTGTAATTTTTGAAAATTTATTTAACTTTACAAGGTAATCCTTTATGAGAAAATGTTAGTTATAGAAATATTTATTACAAAAATAAAAATGTAATATAATTAGAGCTACACTAATACAAAAATAATTAATTTACTTTAAAATTTGAAAGAATCCTACAACAAGAGATAAAGAAAAAAAACTGAAGAAATATTTTATATTAAAGTAATAAAGCAACTTTTTTTTTATAATACTTTAATAGTATTACAAAATTGGTTTGGTAGATTTTATAAAAGTTTAAATTTTAGATAAAATACATCTCAACTCATTTTTATCTATATATATTTTGGTCATTGAAGTACTGTACTAGCATTAGAAAAAAACACAGAAATGCAGTGTTCATGTGCAATATATGCTCCCTTGCTTATGTGGGAAAGATCGGTTACTGGACATTGGACAACGCTTTTATGTTTTTACAATTTTTATATTCTCAGGTCGGACGGGAATTTTATAATGTTTTGTATGTACTACTGGCTATAGTATAGTATACTATACTCCATTGAATAATAATTATAATTAAATCACATTATATTAATATGAAAAATACCATTGACTTAAAGTGTGAGTGAGAAAGACCACACTACAAAGGCTTTTTTGTCCTCTTCTTCATTTGTATGCTTCTCTAGAACTAATGCTTCGTGTAATTAATGACTTCCACATGCTGAGTTATACAATTACTCATCATATGTCTCTTAAGTTTATGGTTTTACTCCCTTTTGATAAAGCATATTTTGAACAAAAAAGATCTTATACTTATAAATTTATTTTCAAATTACTAAATATATTTATTATTAATTTCATGACGAAACTTTCATCTCCAATATGCTAAAAATCAAGAGAATATGTCATGAGAGCGTATGTTTTATTTTTTTAATAAAATAAACATTATGTTACGTCGGTGTTATAAAAAACCGAGGTAACACACCTATAAGTTAGTATTTTTTTTTCATAAAAAATTAAGGATAAATGTATTTTATCCCCCTGTAATAGTAGCGAGTTTTGATTTACCGCTCATTTAAAAAAATAATTTTCTTTTAACCTCTCAACAAAACAACATTCCCTCAAATTTTACTTTTGATCAAGATTCTAGTAGAATCTGCATATGTGGCGCTTGACGTGACTTTTTTTATTTATTTTTTAATTTTTTTAAATTTCACGTGAAAAGTCGACTATCTTTAAATTTTTTTAAATCTTTTTTTATTTTTCTTTTAATTTTTTTAATTTTTTTTTAATTTTTTGGATTAAATAAGTTTTTGGTCCCCTCTAAATATCACATATTTCGTTTTTAGTCTCTCTAAACATTTCCTTCAAAAAATGGTCCTTCTAAAATTTCTCATCCATACTTTTGTCTCTCCTACTAACGTCCATTAACAGAGTTGACGTGGCACTAACATGTGGTAGTGTCAGCTGCCAAAGATGCTGACGTGGCATGCCACGCTACTAAAGTCATGATCTTGAAAGCCACATGGCATGCCATGTCAGCATCTTTGGCAGTTGGCACTGCCACGTGTTAGTATCACGTCAGCTTTGTTAACAGATGTTAGCAGGAGGGACCAAAAGTATGGAGGAAAAATTTTAGAGGGACCATTCTTTGAAGAAAATGTTTAGAGGGACTAAAAACGAAATCTGTGATATTTAGAGGGACCAAAAACGAAATAAAGATTATATTATTAAATTGAATTGAATTATTACAAATTGGTGTACAAACTAATATATTTATATACAACTAACTTTTACACTAAGTAAGCTAAAAAATACTAATTGAGTTTGAGTTTGGATTACACAATTTGAATTAGAAATAATATTATATCTAATATTGTAACAATTTTAAAAAGGTATTTATATTATTGAGTACACATTTTAATTTTTGACTTAGCACATTAATGTAAGACTTACTATATGAGATAAAATTTATAGAATTATTTATATTCATATATATAATATAGAGTTAATATCTATTTTGTCTACATCATATTTGCGATTTTTGGAAATTCTTTGATAAAAAAAGTTTGAATTTCTTCCTTAACTTTTTAAAATTAATTTGTTTTAACCAGTAAAAAACTCAATCAACAAAAATAATGACATTTACAGCATTTACAACTTCCATCATTGTAGTATAATTTTCACTTTCATGACTGTAGTATAATTTCCACTTCCATCAACAACAAATGTCATATTAGCTATGTCCTTTCCGTTAGTAATCTCTACAACGAAAGTGAAGGATGCAATTAAGAAGATCAAAATGTAGAAGGTAGTTGTATAAGAATGAAATACAGTCATTAATTAAACAGTATTTTTGACATTTGAAGCAAATGTAATGTATTCCTTCACAATTTACAATAATATATATATTTTGGCATATGACATTAAAAATTGGAATTGGTAAAACATTCTATATAAAATAAATTTCTTTAAAAAAAATTATTTGTGCATAATAGAGTCATATTTTATTTCTTGTTTACAATATTGCAAGAGTATATGACATAAAATTTACAAAAATGATTTTGTCCACATATATAATATATATTATATATGTGGTTATATTATTATAAAAATTATTTATTTTTAAGGTATTTATATTATTAAGTTTACAATAAAATTTATTATTGCACACTAGTGCAAGATTTAAATTCTTTATGATTTCTATGATTGGATGAGATTTACTTAAGTTTTTTAAGTGATTTATTTTTTAATTATATAAGATAAAATTCATAAAAATGATTATGTCCATATACATAATATATATTATATATGTGTCTATGTTATTAAAATATATTATTCACTTTAAAATGTATTTATATTAAGTTTTCATTTTAATTTTGACTTGCACATTAATGTAAGAATTACAATATGAGATAAAATTTATAAAGCTATTTATGCTTATGTAAATAATATTGGGTTAATATCTATTTTACCCCTACAACATTTACGATTTTCAAAAAATTCTTATGTAAAGAAAAAGTTCGGATACCTTTCCTAATTTATTAGAATTTTTTTGTTTTGACTCCTAAAGAAATTCAGTCAATAAAAATAATGACTCCTATATAAATATACTAGTTTGTACACTAATTTGTAATAATTCATTCAATTCAATAATATAATCTTTATTTCGTTTTTGGTCCCTCTAAATATCACAAATTTCGTTTTAAGTCCCTCTAAACATTTCCTTCAAAGAATGATCCCTCTAAAATTTTCCTTCCATACTTTTGGTCCCTCCTGCTAACATCGGTTAACAGAGCTGGCATGGCGGTGCCAGCTGTCATAAATGCTGACGTGGCATGCCACATGGCTTTCAAGGTCTTGACTTTAGTCACGTGGTATGTCACATCAGCATCTTTGATAGTTGGCACTGCCACGTGTTAGTGTCGCGTCAGCTCTGTTAACGGGCGTTAGCAGGAGGGACCAAAAGTCAGGATGGAAAATTTTAGAAGGACCATTCTTTGAAGGAAATGTTTAGAGAGACTAAAAACGAAATCTGTGATATTTAGAGAGACAAAAAACTTATTTAACCCTAATTTTTTTTTAATTTCTTTTAATTTTTTTTATATAATTTTTTAAAAAATTTTATTTTCTCCCACTTGGACAAGCTTATTGTTTGGTTTTATTTATCCCATATTAAT